TTTGAAAAATTCTGTATTTCTGTAGCTGAAAGAATTAAATCTCTCTCATGATAGGCTTATCACCCTATCATAATACTGTTAAACATCTTTGAAAAAGGGGGATTTTGAATCTTGAAAAAATTCAACATATTTTTTCTACCCTTTAATGCTATTTATGAACAAAAATTCCCCATCCACAACTGATAAAACATGTAATATGTCTGACGCCTCTGCTTTCATCCTAAATCACAGCTTTAACCTTTACAGTTTGTGCATTTTCATGATCTTGATATTTTATATGTAAATCTCAGGATTTCACATCCATACACATTTCAGTTCAAGTACTTCTCTACCACTGCACAAATCTCCAGTGAGCGTAGCACTGATGAATTTTTAGAGGTATGGTTTTATTTTACTTAAACTGCTAAGACATTTCATGTATCTGTGTGCAGAACTGTCAAAATGTGAGGGTCTAAATGAGGCCAGAGCTGCCAACCTTAAGAAACAGAAAACATATAGATTTGAGAAAATAATAGTAGAGAGCTTTCATATCCTGTTGAAATGTAGTTTAGCTTTCTCTTCTCTTTATTAAGGGACTGTGATGCTTAAAAAGTGGACCTTATCCTGAAAGAAAATTGGAAAATTCTTCAGGGTTTCTTTACAGGTTTTCTTCTGTGGAAGGAGGGCAAGAACATTTAGTAGATGTCAGTTTGTTTAAATTAAGACGCAGAATTGGAGGGTTGTAAGGTGTACCAGGAAAGACATAACCTTGATCTAAAGTTACCAATTCTCCTCACTGCTGGTACAAGAACTCTTTATATTTAAGCACGGAGACAGACTATTTGTAAATTAAAGGGCTGAACTAATAAAAAGAATTTATAACAAACTCGTTCCCATGCAGGGTCTACACTGTATAAAATCCACACCAGTCACATAGACCAAGCCTCCAAATCGTCCGCCTTGTATTGAAAACTTTTGCCAGGACTTTCCTTTTCCTGACCTGCCAAATGGTCAGCTTTTGCGTTTTCCCGCACGCTTCTCTCTGGAGCATAAGTTGCCATATAAACACTGCTTTAGTTGATTTATGTTAGTAAGTGCATCGAAGGCAGAGAGCCTAGGAGAGACTCTGGGCATATGCTCAGCAGCCCTCTAAGGCAGCTACGTTGTCTTATCTTAGGGAGTTGGCATTTGTGAGAGTGGAAGCGAGTGGCTGGTTTATACTCCAGGGTGTAGCGTGGAGGCTGTATTTATGGATTAAACTCTGTTGGGTTTAATTCATGCTTTTACAATTTGACAAGATGATCTCCATATTGCCCCTCATTCTGTTAGAGAAAAATCGAAGGAGAGGTAGTCACCAAGATGTGGTGAGATTGACCCCTTTTGCAATTCTCAGCCCAGCTAAATCAGCAAATCCATCTTCTTATCTAATTAGCACAGCATGGGCACTGGGAGGCAATGTGACTGAGGGAATGAGGTCTAGATTAGCACTCATGGTGGAGTTTTTCTTCTGATATCCCACTGTGACATAAATGTTCTTCGGGGTTTGGATTGTCTTTGGACTTGCTTGCACTTGACAAGCCTCTACTGGTATAGCAATCTGTTTCTGTAGGCCAGCAAGGCCCCCTGGTGGAGATGCAGCATGTTCTTCTCAACCTTGCCTTCGTGTGCTGACAGAAAGAGCTTATATGGGCCATTATAGCCACACCACCTGCTGGACAATATAAGCCATACCAACAGAAGCACTACGTTGGCAAAGCTGGACCTAGAACAGGGTTTCTGTCAGCATACCTAAATCATCTAGTCTGTGCAATTTTTTATTTTGCGCTCCTAGTCAACATAGTTATGCCAACAAAACTCTGCAGTGCAGACCTCTCTTTGCATGTTTCTGCAGTAACTAACAAAATGACATGGTACACGAATACAAGTTATAACTGCTAGTAAATTAAAAGGTTGAGGTGAGGAACAAGTGGATAGAAGACCAGAATTGGGAAACTGAACTACGAACGTAAGGAAGAGACGAAAAGAAACAGAAAAGGAAAACAGAAAAGGAGATGAGGGCAAAATTGTAAAGATTATGTACGTGAATTCCCTTAAAATAGATTTATATAAATTAAATTAACTTACAGAAAATGTAGAGCTATAGATTTTGCTCATGCCAATACAATGTGAAAATTAAGGTTACATTTTTCCCCTAAAAAACAAAACAGCCTGTACACCCACTGCTGAATTGTCCAGTACAGGAGAATTGCTAGTGCTTTCTCAAGTTTAATATAAAAAAAAGTCCCAAATGAAGTGGGTTCCAGTGTTATTCTCCTATTATACTGATTTGAAAAAAATGTTTTCTGATATTCATCCTTACTTTTGCCATGTTTAATTTCAGCTCATTTCTTCTTGTCATCTCCTCTTGTAATATCAGATTTTTTCCCCTCTTCCTACAGTGTACAGGATAAGCTATTATCATGGTCTCCCCTTAGTTACCTGTAAACCAAGATGTTAATATGTAACCCTTTTAATTGCTTCTCACAGTCATCTCTGAGTGAAAGATATAACTCCATTTTGAGGGTTTCAATCAAAACAGCTACCTGTAATCCATATATTACAGGACCAGGCACTTGCATTGGAATTTTAATGATAGATCAGATTAGATGAGAAAAAATATTAGGAAGTGCTTTGTGGAGAAAAAACTCTATAAAGACAGGAATGATTCAATACAATTTTTCCATCTCTAACTTCAATGGCTCTCCAAAATTACGTTGCAGATCCCGCCAGACTTAGTGCTTGACTGAGCTTCAAGTAACCTCTTATTCTTCTCTTGTTCAGATTACGTAGGGCTGTAATAATACCATTATTTCACTGGGGTTTTATGTGTCTTGAACAATCCATGTTTGGCAAGTGATTTTTGGTCACCACTTGAAAGACTCCAGAGCGGCGCAAACCAGCATAGCACAGCGGTTTTGTTTTAGTCAGTTGCCAGAAGACCTATAAGTTTCCACTAGGTGGCAGGGTTCGGACCTAAGTGCTGCCAAAAACAGTTATAGTGAAGACTGATTAGTGACAGAAACGTCACCTATATTGTTTGAAATGAATCCTGGTTGAAGTAAAGTTAAATGTCATGGTTCAGCTTAGTAAAACCTGCCTCATTAAAATCAGTTTTAAGCCAGGCCTCTCTCTGTCTTTTGTATGCTGTCAGGCTGTCTCCCTAACTGAGCTCACCACTCTCCTTCAAGGCAGCAGCAGCCGCAGTCAAGGTCTGGTAGCTTTGAAGAGATCTTCGGGTGATTAAAAATGCCACAGTTACAGCTTCATCGTGGCTCTGCCTGACAATCAGCTGAGAGGACATGCACCATGGTAATCCACAGCCTAGTTCCTACTTTCAAACTACTGTTTAATTGGGGACCATATTTTTACCATGTGGAGCTGATGTCGGAGGAACAATAGTTGAGCTGATCACACTGTCACTTGCCCAAGGAGTTCTCCAAGGCCTCTTGAATGCAGAGTTATTTCTGTGCAGAAAGAACTGCCCCTTTATTGGGATGCAGCCCACATTTCTCAGTGCATATTCTGGACTTTCATAGCCAGGCCTCTTGACTCAAGATGGAGCCCCTTTTTTTTATTCAAGCAAAGGGGAGAACATAAGAATTGCCAGTTACTGGATCAGACCATAGGTCCGTCTTGCCCAGTCTCTTTTGTCACACAGGGGCAGAGAGTGGATGCTGAGAGGGACAATGGACTGGGTATGACCAGGGTTTTTTTCCCCACTGTTCTTCTCTCTTGCAACCTCCAGCTTTTAAGGTCAAGGAAGTTCTAGTTCAGCAGCTGCTTCCTTAACTCCCACACTCAACACCCGCTTTCCTCCAAGAGTGTATCCAACCCTTTTGGAATCAGCTTCCAGCACCCCTGGTGGCGACAAGTTCCCCACTTCAATGACACACCGTGTGAAAAATAACTTCCTTCTGCTAGGTTTAAACTTACTACTGACCAGTTTCAACTTGTAACTCCAAATCTTATATGGTGAGATCAAGCCAATAATAAATTCCTACTGAGTTTCTTTTCACCAGTTAGTGTTTTGTAAACTCTGGTCCTGTCCCCCCGAGCATCTCTTCCAAGCTGAACAGGCCTCGCCTCTTTAGTTTCTCATGTTTATGCCCCTCTGTTAGGGATGCCGCCTCCGTTTGAATCTATTCCACGAGGTTTCATCACATGACGTCATGACGTTCGTGGCTTGACATCGGGAAGGCAAATGCACGTGACTATTACATTTTAAAAACCCTTTAAACAACTGCATAAATCAGATTCAACATGCATTCCCCCCTCGCCCCCATCCCTCTTATGTTTGTCCCTCAGTCAGGCGCTGTTGTTCCCTTTTGGCTTCATCATCTTTTTATTTTCAAGTGCCCTGGCATTTATCTCCCAGTGGCTCTCAGCAGCCTCCTGGAGATTTCTCTCCAATTCCTGGAGACTCGGGGAGGGTGGCCCACTCTACCCTCCACGCCGCCAATCCTTCCCGTTGCCCTTTTCTATCCTTTCTGACGTGCGGGGGGAGGGGGGGCGGACCGGACCTGGGCAGCTTCCTCCAGGGGTGGAGGCACCCTGGGTTTAAGAAGGGGCACAACGACCCTTCCCGTGGTGCGAACAAATTCCCTTCTGAATAATCCCGGACATTGCAATGGCCCTTTTGAGTGCGGCGGAGCCCCGCCAGCCTCCCGCACCTCTGCCCTGGGCGGGACCAGCTAAGGTGGAGCCCCTGACAACACAGGTCAAGCTGGGCTCGTGTAGCCCAGGCGAGGGCTGGACACTCCTGCAGCTGCTGCTCGGCAGGAAAACGGGGCCTGCGGCCTCCCACAAGCCCGCCCAAACGACGAAGGCTGGAGACGCCCTCTGATCGCGCCACTCCCGGCTCTCCATTGTCAGGCCTGCCTTGCTACGAGAGGCAGAAGTGGGCGTGGACTGCCTCAGGCCCCGCCCCCGCGCTGGCCCCGCTTCCGGCCCGCGCCACCGTCCCACAAGCCCCCGCGGCCCGCAGCCAAGATGGCGCTGCTGAGGGCTGCGCCGAGCCTGGCGGCGGTGGCCCTGCGCCGGCGGCGGCTGCTGACTGCTTCTGTGCTATGGCCGGCGGCGGGGATGGCTGCTGGCGTCCACTGCTGGGTAGACGGCGGGCGGCGGCGGGGCCGGGCGCCTCCACGGACCGATCAGGTGCGCGGGCGACGGTTTCGGGCGCTGACACGGGGGGTGGGCGCCTTGTTCCGGGCAGTGGGTCTCCACCTCTTTTGTATCGGGGCCCATTTGTGGGCATTCCCCCCCCCCCCGGGCACCCCCTCTGCAAGAGGTTCCCACGTTTTTCTCCTTGAAAGGAGAACCCGTTTTGAAAGTTTTGTTCTGTTCTTGTGACCCACTTTTGGGTTGGTTGGGAAACACTGGGTTAGGGGACAGGCAGAAGGGCGGCACAGGGAGGGACTGGGTGGGCCCAAGGCGAGGTGGGGAGGGATTGGGGGGCACAAGGCGGGGCGGTAGTATGGGGAGCAGAAGGTCAGGCAGGCCTATCGGATACGCATAGGGAAACATGGCGCACAAACCTCTAGTTTCCTCTGATGTTAGAAGGGGACATGTGGCCTGCAGAGGTCTTGGGACAGCAAAAGCAGGGAGAGGAGCAAGGGGCAGAGGTTAGTAATAAGTGCTCCGAGGTGGGGCAACGAGCACAGCCCATCGGCCCCGAATGAGTCTGCAGAGCCGGCGGTTGCTACCCACAGATGGCCCAGAGATGAGTGGGTGAAGGGCGGGAAGGTGGCTCCAGAGTCACCAGAGGTCCGGGTGAGATAAGGAGCAGAAAGCTGAACTGCAGGTAGGTCAGGGGAAGAAGATTTGGAGTGATCCTCAGGGAGGGTGCAAGGCTACGTTATGACATGCCTGCTGAAAAGGTTGGCCCCTGCTGAAATGCATGATGCTGCTTTTCTTTTGAGGTGTTCTGGGGAAGTGTTGGGCCGATGCCTTTCCGATGAGCGTGGGACTCAGTAACCTCCGAGGTTGGGTTTTTCTTCATAAGTCTTGTATAGATGACAAAAAATGGGTCGTATTTGAAGGGTGTTAACCAGTACATTTTAACTGACAGGGGTTTGAAAACCAATGTAGGCCAAGGAGAACAATACATTTCAAAATGTAATGAGTTGGGGGTCAAAGCTAGGGATGTATATTTTGAAATGCAAATAATAGTTTTCACTCTGGCTAGGAAGCCTATGCCTCAGGGTAGGAAGTATCTGCTGCTACCATCCCCAACCTCATCCACTGTAGTCTAAGACAATATAATTTTGCCTATTTTTTGTTGTATTTTGTTAAAGCGGTCAAGTTTGGTATGTAAAATTGCCTGGGCATGTTGAACAGTAGAAAATATTTCTTGATTATTTAAAGAATTTTGCTGACATTTATATCATCATGTTTGACTAGGTGTAGAATGCCTTTAGTGTTTTTTCACTAAAAACGGTGAAATGTATTGAACAAGATGTTTACCAGAGTGTTTATTACATATCATTTTCAGTTTTCATTTCTTTTACTCTTTGCCTTTTCTTGACATTTTTTATTCCTTATAGTGATTAATGGTGTATTTTTCCATGGACTGTTGTAATGCAGTTGAGATTAGTACTATAATTCCAAAAACAATGGTCATGATTTTAAGATACTATTATTAAAGTAAATGATCATAAAGGTTGATGTAAATTTGGCTGAAAAACTGTTTATAATCTAGTTCTCTGACATTAAGACTTCCAATTTTTTCACTGCAGTGTAGGAGATTTAAATTCACTAGCAACTGCAGTAACTATAGAAATAAGTGCTTTTGCAATTCTTTCTGCTAAAAGGATACAAAACGTGTAAGCGACTTGACAGCAGAACTGTACTGGGACTCGCAGGGCGGTGGGGAGAAAGGCTGTGATTGCATAAGGAAATTAGCTAATGCAATTCCAGTCAGATGATAGTTTTGGTCATTATGAAATGCAGTTTGGATTCAGTGTAGAAATTGGACCATGGTTTTTAACTGAATTAAGGAGCAAATTTGCTCAATGCCAGTTGAAAGCAAAAAATGGAATTTCCACCTGATACAAAAATTACGTTGGTATTTGTTTCCATCCTGAATTGAATAAGAAGTCAAAATATCAAAAATAATTTTTGAATGAAGAGTTCTGAGTCTTCATTGAGTTAATCTCCTTCACTTGATTACTACTCTCAAGATTTGTATGGCTGTGTCAGAAAGGAAATTGCATCAAGGGAGCTCCACTTAAAGAAGTGTCAAGTTGGCTGAGTGCTTTAAGGTACCAGATTCAGGGCTTAGCTGCCTTTGTGGGTGGGTGTTCTGGTCTCTGTATGGAGGCATGGGTTCAAATCCCACTTCTAACACAGATATTTTCACAGTGACAGAAAGAGATCTTGGAGTCACTATTGATTCCAAAATGAACATGGGCCGCCAATGTGAGGATGCAGTCAGCAAAGCTGACTGCACCTTGTCATGCATCCACATATGCAACATGAGCAGGTCCAAGGAGGTGATCCTCCCCTTCTATGCGACACTGGTCAGGCCACAGTTAGAGTACTGTGTCCAGTTCTGGGTGCTGCACTTCAGGAGGGATGTGGACAGCATTGAGAGGGTCCAGAGGAGGAACACTAGCATGATCAGGGGACAGCAGGGAGAGGCTAGGGGACCTGAACCTGTTCAGCCTTCACAAGAGAAGGCTGAGAGGGGATCTAATGGCTGTCTATAAACTTACCAGGGAGGACCAGAGGGGATTGGGTGAGACCCTGTTTCCCCAAGCACCTCCTGGAGTAACAAGGAATAACATCCAGAAGCTGTTTGAGTGTAAGTTCAGGCTAGACATCAGGAAGCACTACTTCACAGTCAGGGTGGCCAGGATCTGGAACCAGCTTCCAAGGGAAGTGGTGCTGGCTCCTATCTTAGGGGTCTTTAAAATGAGGCTTGATAACTACCTAGCTGCAGTCATTTGAGCTTAAACTTAGTAGGGGTCATAAGAGCCCTGTATTCATTCCTGCCCAGGGCAGGGGGGCGAACTAGATGATCTGCTCATGTCCCCTGTATCCCTACTTCTGTGAAATTATGAAACTATGAAGTCCAGCCACCAAATTAGGTTGATGAGGAGCAGAAAGTACTTGGAAGTACAGCTCCTATGAGGTACTGCACCTCTGTATACAAGTTCATGTTTGGTTCAGTTCAGCAAACCAAAATATTTCAGTTCAGGCTCAGCCTACACAAAACAATATTTTTAGTTTTCCAACAGGAAACTGATTTTTTTGCTGGGAAAAATCCCAGTAATGAGGAACATATTCCACCCCCCCCAGCCCTCCCTCAAAATTATGTAAGTGGCAAGATCTGATTTTAACTAAAGTTCTTAATGTGTATTTGTAGCAGTAGGTCTTTAAATATAGATGTGATATATTATATATTTATCTATGTTGGCATATTATTTTAAAATATGGATCAGTATAGCATGTTTATTCTAGTAAGTATGATATACTGTGATTTGAAATTTACATCTTTTGAAGAACGATTAGATTAAGCCTGAACCAAGTATCTGAAATCTATCTTTTGCCCAGTTAAGTCTGTGTGAATCTTTCCTGCACTGTCAGGTGATGTATCATGTGTAAACCAGGTCTCTTCTGGCTGTTCTTTTTTTTTTATTTCTCCTATTAAGTACAGCAAGGTTTACCCCCCTCTAAGTAAGTGTTTGGAGGGAATCTTTCAATTGGACCCTTTGTGTTACTCCAGCTACTCAGTGGCATATCTGCCGTGGCAGAAGCTCCTAATTCTTAACACACATGCTAAATATATTTACCATCTTTTCTGAATAACACTAGAGACACAGGGTAGTTAAATTCTGATATATTTTGAGCCTTGTTATAAATTAATTAAATGTAAAACTTACTATTTTTCTAAGCAATTTGGATATCTTTAGAGGTGCGCTGATATATTGGTCCCGTATCAGATCGGCACCAATATAAGGAAAATTGACTGTATTGGCAATGGCTTTCTTTGGCTAATGTGGCCAGTAATGTGATAAATGCCATGTGCGTGCGCACAGCCACAGCGCACCATGTAGGCAACTAAGAGTACAGCCTGGTGGTGTGGAGAGCAGCTGGATCCATCTGGTAAGTCTATTGTGAGGGAAGGGGGGGGGCGTGCAATTGAGGCCCCAGCGGAGAGGGAGGGAGTGGGGGGGTACAGGGGGCCCGCTGCTGCACACACCCTGGGAGGGCATGGGGCCATGTGCCCCTGGATCTGTGCGCCGGGCGAGGGCAGGCTGCCGCTGTGGGCTGGGGCAGGGGGTGGCGCTCAGCTATTCCTGGCAAGGGGATGGGTTGGGTTGGGTTGAGCTCCGGGTGGGTGGCCATAACCCCCCTCCCAGTGCCGTCACTGCCTGCCCCGAGCTCAACCCCGGCCCAGTCTCCCACTGAGAAGAGCTTGGTGGCCCCTTGGCCCCAGCCTACAACAGCAGCCTGCCCTTGCCCTGCACACAGATCTGGGGGTACCCACTCCTTCCATGTCCTCTTGGGGTGCGTGCAGCAGCGGGAGCCACTCCCTCCCCTGCAACACCCAAATAAGCACTTACAGCTTCATCCCGTGCCCTACCCTGGCTGTGTAGTGCTTGCCCCAGCCCCACTCCCTACCTCAACACTGGCGTCTCAATCTGCCCCCCCCCCCCCCCCCC